TTTTTAAAATTGCCAATAAAATTACATCCAAAATTGGATATTGTTTAAACATTATAAATGGACAATCCAAAACTAGCAACCATCAATCATATGGAAATTCTATATCCAACATTTTCTAAAACCACTTTAGAATAGTGGTGAAACATGTATGCAATCTGAGTGGGCAATGTGGGTTAAAGATTCATAAACAATGAGACAGACAAAAAAGATATGTAAAACATTTCTATAAAAGTTGATGACAATTGGCAAAAGTAGAATTAGGAAAAACATTGTACGCATACAGAAAACAGAAAGTCAGCATCATACACTGTGTGTTAGTAAATATGTATTTTGTGCCCAATGTTCTATGTTTATACGATATCCAGGGTAAAACAAACCAAAATAAAATCATAATAAGTAATATTTTTTTTGCAAATTCTATCACTTTAACTTCAAAAATAAAAAATAAAAAACTTCATGAATTCTCTTGTATAAACTAGTTGTGAAAGCAAAAATACCTTTAACTCTATTGAGCTCCCGACATTGGAAGATAAGTACCCAATTTGTACCTTAAAACGAAGAGAGCGAAGGCCTTATTTAAGTAAATAAATATTTTTCTTTCAATACTGGAATCACCCATCACCCTCATTTTCAAAGATATCTACATGCTCCCATTCCACATTTGTTATCACAGCTAATATAAGAATGAGGTGTTCAAATCTTGGCTCTGCCATAGGCAGAAACAGCATCTAGTTGTTCACAAACCTTAATAGGAACACTTTATTGTTAACTACACCAACCTTCAATCCTATTCAATGATAAGTTGTGATCTTATATAAAATTGATCATACCATACGCAGAAACAGCATCTAGTAATTCACAAACTTTAACAGGAACACTTTATCATTACTACCAACTTCAACCTCGAATGCCTAAAGGGTTACAACCCTACAGAAATTACCATTATGAAAAAGCTCCAGCAAAGATATGCACATTAATGATAAATACCATGGTCTAATAACCAGTTTCCAGTATTATAAAAAAATAATAAATAAAAACTATTACATTGGAAGATATTAAACTTCAGTTAAACTTAAGTGTCCTCAGCAACAACATATCTTTGAAACATCAAAACAAAAGTAGAAAGGATTGTTAACATTTCTCAACAGGTTTTCGTTTCCTCTAATCAATGATTCTTAACCTGTTCAAAAAAACACATTAAAAAATGTAAGTATAGACTAAAGGCAGCTTTATAATGAAATCTTAATTGCCAAAGCAGTGGAGATACCATATGAAAACTAGTCATTATGTGATTGTACATGGTTAAATTCTACTAGTTTACTAAAATAGGAGCACAGAACAAGTGGCTAGTTCAAGTAAAAATATTGTTAACTAGCACTGCAAGAAAAATATCATTAGCCAATAATAGAATTTGGTAAACATGCAGCTTTTGATAACTCAGCTTAGGAGAAGACCATAATTTGATTTGCTTTATGCACAAATAATGAAAAATATATATATTCTTGATCACTTCAGCAAAAGAAAACCCATCCTTATAATTTATTTGACATATCATACTCGCGTGTATTGAAAACATTCATGCAATAAGTCATACAAAGTTCTAACACGATTAAAATAAATACCTCTAATACAAAGTTTTGACCACTCCCAAGGATGATTTCCTCCAAGAAACTGAAACAGACAGTTTTGAGTTATAACACATTTTTGTTTGCAGATAAAATATTTACTTCAGTATAAAAAATAAGTCAGACAATCACCATTTACCTTGTCTTTGAAATACTGAAACTATCTATTAACAGAGTTGAATTTAGTAACAAAAATGACATAAAAGAAAGACATGTGTTTGAACAAGGAGAATTTTACCTAAAGGAGGGGGGGATTTGGAACTACATAGCAGTCTTGAATTGAAACTGCCTCCAAAACCTTGCCTCAATTGTGACTATACACAACACAGTTCTGAAATTAACACATGCACAATTCACATTCAACCAGAAACTAACAGATTTTATGTATTTTTTAGAGGCATATTAGCAAACAGGTGGTATGCATAATTTACCCATAAATTAAATTAAAGAAAAAGAACAATGACAAACCAGGTTCTAGATCAACTATTTTATTATGTAATTCCTTTTCAATCAATAAATCAATGACAAACCTGTTCTAGCCAAACCTGTTCAAGCACAAACGCAAAGATTGACATCGCTGCAAAGATTGACACAGTATAGTTGTGATGGTGGTTCTGTGACTCTGTACACAAACGCAATAGAGATTAGCCTCAATAGACTAACCCTAGAATTGCATACAAAGCATAAAGGCAAAGATCACCACGAACGAGTCAGAAATAGAGTCGGTTTGAGGATGTTAATATGCACATAGGGATTCAAACTTACAGATCTGAACGAAAGCAATCAATCGATCAAATCCAGAGAAGAGTGTTCGATCGTGATCAATAAATTAAAAATCAATCAATCGAGATTTGCCTAAAAATCGATCAATAGAATAAAAATCGATCGCGATCAATAGACATGAATTAGTATATATATATATATATCAAACAGATTTGAGATCGTAGATCTAAGTTTGTATATAAACAAAATGAAAAAATCAGAGGACTCACAAAATTAATCTTCAAATTAGACTGATTCAGAGCTTTGAGCCAAGATGAAGAGAACTAGATCGTGAATCGGAGCCTACGAAGCTCGATCTAGTGACCTTTCACCATAAGAAAGAGGAGTGATGAAGACATAGAAAACCTAGATCTATCAATTGTTGCGTGAAATAGAATAGAAGAATGAAAAACGCGTGGGTCTTAAAAGGGAAAATACGTTCGTACACCAAAACATGCGTGTTTTTTAAAATGAGTTATTTACAAAAATATTTTGAAAACCTTTAAAACGACGCTTTTTGAAAAAACGCCATAACAAAAGCGTGGTTATAAACTAATTTTCTTGTAGTGGAAGTAACCCTTCACATAGCCAAAAATTAGCAACGCGAATAGAGTTAAAATTACTGATGCGATCACAGCCTTTCTCGCGATTGGAATGAACATGTATGGGATTAGGGGGACTATTCCACCTACGATGTATGCAATCGCAACCGTGAGCGCGCTGTGTACTGCTCTCCTTGGATCCTGTTTCTCCAATCCCAGCTCAAACCTGCACTTGTCATGGAAAATTTTTGGTTTGGTCACCAGTTTTTTTTTCCTTTTTTTTTTTTTCTTTAGTCAATGCAAGCATTAAAACCATTGGAATTGGAAAAACAAGAAACAAATGGAATATGGATGGAATATGGAAGGAATATTAGTGATACAAATATATAGCACATGATGCAGAATTTTAGCCCAAAACAAAGAGGAAAGTTGGAAAAGAGAAATAGGAAACAAATGTGACAAATTTCATACATGGTGGGTAAGGCAATGAGTTATTTTTGTTTTAATAAGAAAATATTAAAATCAATTTATTGCTTCAGAATTGTCAACTCTATATGCATTTTATCAGAGCATACAATTGAGGTCTATATCGCTGATTGAAATTTCTACTTCATAGTACCTGAAGGAAATTAGGTATAAAATTGTATAGCAACAATTATTGCTATACACTTGGATTTAGAAAGTGAATGACTAACATAATCAAAATAGGACTCATTGTTGGGAAATACATAGTGGACACGTGAGTCTAACTAAACATATTTGAACTTTTCTCCAACTGGTGATAAATCAAATCTTTTTCCTTAACTTTGTGTTTTGGAAATAATTTTTGATAACTAAAATAGAAAATTAACATTGTAGCCTATGATGGTGGAGACTATACTTAAATTATACTGTGTTTGGATTGGGTAATTTAGGAAGAAAAGAAAATAAATGTATGTTTCTTGATTGATATCACCGGATTAGATTAGTAAAGAAGACAAAAATGAGAAGGAATTGAAAGAAACCATTTATATATTAATTCAGTTCTTAAAAAATATATATTTTTAAAATATCCTTGACTAGCAAAAATGAGAAGGAATTGAAAGAAACCACTAGTATGCCTTAAGTTTGGATTTCAGTTCTTCTACGTGCACAGAATCTGATTACAGAACTTGTGTTCGGTTCTGTAATCTACTAGTCGAGTTATAATATGCTGGTTGTGTGTAAATGACAATGAATTTTAACTTATGTAATAATTTCTCAGTTCTTGTTGGGCTAGTAATATTATGTGTGTGGATTGATTTTGTTAGCTGCTGAAACCACCAGTTGCTTAGATAATCTTGAATCTGCGCTAGCTGGTTTTTGTGTACATGTTACTTTTTTTCCCCATATGTACCAAGTTTTTAAAACAATACCACAGTCATGTTTATTTGGCGATTTAAGTTGGATAAAATTATTAGTGAAATATTGATTAGGGAAGAGATTTTTAATTTAAGAATTGTTAATGAGGGGATTAAATAAAAATGTGTTTATTTTGATGATAGTATGAGAGATGGGGGTGATGAGATTGTTAAATTATTTTTATATAAAATAAATTAATAAATTATTTTTATATTAAAAAATTAAAATAAATATTAAAATGCACTTGGTAAAAAAATTAATATTTTTTTATATATAAAATAAATTGAATTCCTTCATTATTTTTTTAATTTCATTTAAAATCTAGCCAAACTATTTTATTTTACTGAAAGGGACTATCCATCTGTCTTTTCATGTCACTACGTACCAAAGATGCTATGGGTGAAATTTACAGTCATGTAGTTCAATCGGCTACTCGATCCTTTAAATAACAAGACTGGTTTAGACCATTAAAAAATATATTATTAATAGCGTTAATATATTAGGAATAATAAAAAAGAAAATGAAAAAAAAAGAAATAAGGCATAGAAAGTAGGTGGAGTCTACTGCCACATCATTAATGCTCTTTCTAATACTCTCAAGCATTTTTCTTTAAATAAGCATGACCAACATGTCTAAAAAAAGGTATCTAGAAAATTGTTGAGAAAATAGTAAGTATTTTGAATTTGAATTTTCAATTTGGAAAGTTCTAATACAACACTCTTCAAAAGGTGCATCATATGCCCTTTTAATTATAGGCAGTGGCTTTGGTCCAGTCCAAGATCGGACTTGATCGTGCTATTGGGCTCGTGGGGGCCCACCACGGGTCCCGTTTTGATAATCCGAACCGTTCAATATGTAGAACTCGTCGAGTACTATATGCCTATAAAAAATCACGTTGATCGGATATCGATAGCTATGTGAACAAAACAGTTTTTTATCAACCGTTAATTGTTTTCCCGTCCATTTTTTTTATACAAAACTGATTTGATCACATAGCTATTTATATCCGATCAACGTGATTTTTTACAGGCATGTAGTACTCGACAAGTTCTACACATTGAACAGTTCGGATTATCAAAACGGGCCCAAAAAATGGACCCCATGGACCGAACTGGACTGATCCAGTCTTGATCTCAACTTGAGACAAGCTGGACCCTAATTTTTTTTTTTTAGTTATTATTAATTTTTTTCCCTGATATTAAGATTTTATAGCATAAAGGACATTCAATATTTTCATAATGTCTAAAGTCCCTCAACAATATTTTTATAATGTCTAAGGTCCCTCAACCTTGATTCTCTTGACCAAATTTCTCTGGATGAGTTTCTCTACTTTTCTTCTCATTTCCCCTAATTTCTCTCATTTTTAGCAATCCAATATTCTTTTCTTCCGAAATCACCCAATCCATGTAAAAGATATACGACCATTTTGGGGGGATAAAAAACAAAACCAGTATAATAATGGATAAGTTGAGCCAATCGAGCCAATAATGGTCGATCAAAACTGATTTAAGAATTAAAAAGCGTGAAATAGGTGTTTCATTGATGAATAGAGTTGCAATGAAATATTAGATAAGAGCATTACTTGAAGCATACATTGTTACACAAATAGCTGAGACTATGATAGTGTATTATTCTCAGAATTTCTCTGGCCCAATTCTTCCTAGAATTTCTCAACATTCCTCTAATGCATTTCTCTGGTCTAATTCTTATCAGAATTTTTCTGGCCCAATCCTTCATAGAATTTCTCTGATGCATTGACTGACTGGAGGAGTGGTTGATGGAGAAAATTCAATCCAGAGAATTTCTCTCCAGAGAAATTTTGAATTTCTCTGGATTCTCTATCTGTGTTTTAACCAAATTTCTCTGGACTTCAGAATTTCTCTCCAGAGAAATTCTTATACCAAGGGTAATCTGATACTAAAATCATGACTGTAGTTAAAGAAATGGTCTTTAACTTACATCCAAGGCTTCTAGATCTCAAATGAAAAAAAAAAATTTAGTTCACAATTTGGAATTTTTTCTATTAAACTAATTGTCCCTCACCTGGACGAAATTCACGAAAATTTCGAAGCAAAGTTGGAGCATAACACTGAAAAATGAATCAACTTCACAAAAATGGTCTTTGGCTCATCCCAGCTGCTAAATCTCTAGTGTGTAAATCCTCCACAATAACGTTTGAAATCCCACTGGACATTTCACTGCCTATTCCAACCCCAGAACATATTGGAGTTGTGCCTGAGAGTGAGACTCTTGAAGCAACCTATTCCAACCCCATAATCATAAATCTGATGCAACTCCAATAAAGAGATTATGTTGAAATGTTCTGATTTTGGAAACTCCACAATAATGTTCAACTCCAAAATCATTTTTCTGGACAACATCGGTATTTGGATTTTGGAAACTCCACAATAATGTTCAACTCCAGGTAGGTTGCTTTATTTTTCTGGTTTTCAGGTATAGACCCAGGTAGGTTGCTTCAATCTCTATACCATCGGTATTTGGAGCATTGAGAAGAAGATGAATTGGAAGAACTAGATACTGATACTGATGATCAATAACAACATCAACAGCAATTTGAAGAAGAAGAAGAAGCAGACGGGGGTTCGTGGATCTGGACGTGTTTGAGCAAGAGTACTGGTACAATTGAAACCCTAGGGTT